TCACTGTCACCGTCACCGGGGCCGCTATGGACCCACCAGGCCCGGGGCTGCCTCGCTGAGCCTGCGGCGGAAGGGGACGCACCTGTGAGAAGAGCAAGAGGAGTGGCCCTAACGCACCCTGGAGGGCAGAGCCCAGCGATCCCGGCTGAGCCTGATCCAGGTGGCGGCCAGGCTGGGCCAGCCCCTTCTCCCCTTCATACAGAGAGACGCTCATCCCTGCCACCAGGGTCGGACGGGGCGGCCGGAGGGTGCCAACTGTTCCCACGGAAACCCAGCCCCTGCCCACGGCGACCTCAGGATGACACGGGGACACTGAAAAGGCCGGAAGAGCCCTTTTCTCTCGCAAACCCCAAAGGATGATCTCAGAAGAGGCTCAGCGCTTCAGCAGCCCAGGCACCAAGAGGCGCTGACCCAACTGGGCGCTCCTAGCTCGGTGGGGGACAGGACGTGGCCTTTTGTTAGGCCACCGCTCTGGCCTCTCTGGAAAGCTGCTGCCGTGCTGGGCTCAGGGGCCAGAAGGGCACAGCCAGGACTGGCTGGGCTGTTCCCCCTCACGTCACTCTGAGTCACCAGGCAGAGGGTTCCTGAAGCCTTTGCACAGCCAGGACTGGCTGGGCTGTTCCCCCTCACGTCACTCTGAGTCACCAGGCAGAGGGTTCCTGACGCCTTACCCGGCAGAGGAAGACGGTAGGCACGGCAGCCTTCCGCCCCTTCCTTCAGCCGGGATGAGGTGGGTGGGCACTGTTCAGAAGAAGAAATATGTTTTCCAATATTTACGGAAAATTATTTATACTACAGGAATGGTCATTTTCCATTTGAAATTCAGGATTTATTTGAACTAGGAAACAGCTGAGATCTATGAGTCCCTTCCAGCTCCTAGGCCTAACTCAGCAGTTTGATAAATCAGGCATTTTCCCAGGAAGCGTCCTTCCTATTCCTGGTTCCGAAGACACCCTTCCCCACGAGGCGCGCTTTCAGGGGGTGAAGTTAACGGTACCTCTGGAGATTAACAGCCCATTTTTGTGATGGATGGTTGGGCTGCAAAGTTTCCTCGATCCATAGATCAATAACTGTCACCAGCATAAATACTCTAGAAGATTAGGCCATCCTTCAAGCATTTCCTTTGCACCCTTTATGTATTCTTCTCTATTTAAGGTTGATGTCATTGCTGCTGGGGTAGGAACACACAAAACCACCGGGCAGGCTCCTCCCCACCTGCCGGCCTGGGCCCGGCCCACACTCTGCAGGGTGGCCCATGGGTGCGCAGGACAGAACAGCTTGGGAGAACAGAAGTCTCCGTGTACATCGGGCCCCGGAAGCTGAAGGACCCACCCGATCCCAGGCAGGAGAAAGTCAGGGATGACGGCGAGATGTGCCCATGCCCTTGCCGCGCCAAAATGGCAAAAGCTCTGCGGCATTCTGCCCCTGGGCCACCCCGGAGGAGACCGCTGACCCCAACTGCTGCCTTCAGGTCTCTGCCGAACATTTCCAGAGGGCTCTGGGAAAGCCACTATCATGGAGGCCAGCAGACCCAAATGGCAGCTGGGCCATCATCCCAGGAACTGGGTGCACAATGTCCCTGCCAGCTCCGCCTGTAGCTGGGCACCCCGTCTGCACCCCGGGGAGGGGCCCACATGGTGGCCACAGGAAGCTGACGAGCTCCAAGAAGCACTAGGCAAAGAGGCCTTTTGGAAACAAGGGGAGGGAGGTGTGACTGTCCCCAAACTACTGGGGAGATCTTGCTATTGTTCTAATAAATAAAACTTCCTATGAAGACCCAGCATTTCCTAAGAGAATGAAGCACAGTGGGAGAAAATAGATTTGCTATTCATAAGATCAGAAGTGCTGGTGATCTGTGGGAGATCATAAGAGACTATTTTCTCCCAGCTTAGCATTAGTCTTTTCACGCTGATATCATGAATCAGAATGAAATGTAAAACTGAAAATTAAGCAAACACTTAGGAGGAGACCATTCTGTTTATAGAAATCCCCTCTGCCTAGCAGTGGGCCATTAAAGCACAGACTACATTAGCAGTCAAGCACCCAAAAGTTTAGCAATCATATGATTAACAGGTCGAAAATAGAAAAGTGTAACAAGGAAAATGTGGAGGGAGAAGACAGTGACCTATATTGTAGTTAATTATCAAGTGGAAGCGTGAAGAGAAAAAGCACAGGTGCAGACAGAGCAACTCAGGGGGTGCCGGGGCCACCACCAAGGGAAGGCAGCCCCAGCTCTGGGGACTCACCTCCTCTGTCCTGGCGGCTCGGGCGTCCGGGAAAGGAGCCTGCACCAGAATTCGGGGCACGGGCTGAGGAGACAAGTGTGCCAGTCAGGGGTCACGGGGACCAGACAGTAAGCAGGCGTCCAGTGGACAGACAGGCATGGGAGGGGCCCTCGGAACCCGGGCAGGGAGAGGAGGTGCACACTCAGGCCACTGCCACACACGCGGACACACAGCTCCCTCTCCGGCCACAGTGCACCGCCATGCAGAGCTGCACGGTGCACATCAAGATCCATAAAGACGGCAGGCTGGGGGCCGCGTGTCACCACAGGAAATGGAACACAGGAAGGGAACACAGGAAGACCGTCCAGCCCAAGAACAAGGTATAGAGGCGGCCCGAAACTAACCTCACCGGTAAAGGAGAGGGGTCACCACTTCCTGAGCAGAGGTGGCTGTGCGGAGCTGAAAGCCAGACTAAGCTGGCAGCAGAATGCAAGACGGCTGGAGAAGCAAAGTCCAAGGAGACAAATCAGCAAGAGTAGCCTCGAGGTGGGACAGCTCGAGCTCCTGGGTATACACAGTGCCACAGGAAAGGGCTTCGTGACTTATGGAGGTATGGACACATGACTCAAGGAAGATTAAAAGGCAAAAATGATGAAAGCCAGGCTGTGATGGAAAGGACTTCAGAAAGGGAAGGCACCAGAAACTTTACAGCCACTAGGTTCAACCGGGCCATGCCACACAGAAGCTGGCACTCAGGTGGGAGGGTCTCAGGAAGACACAGGAGGCCACCACTTTGGCGCTGGCTGCCCACCTTCACCGGCTGCTCCCGGCCACCCTGCTGTTCTGCATGCCAAGGTGAACAACAGCTCTGTCCTGGCACAGTGGACACAGGAAGGGCTCCTCCGTCCTTTGGGCCCATGGGAGATGCAGGGTGGCAGCTATCCCAAAGGTGCCCTGCTGCAGCTTCCAGGGTGCACTGGGGCCCTACGGCTCCCACACAGTGGCCATGGTCTAGACAGAGCTCAGCCTGGGCTGTGGTCTTCTCTCCTGTCCTCCTGCCCAGGACCAGCCACCCAGAGAAGAGGGCAGGGGACAAAAGAGCCTACTCACAGGTACCAGCCAGAGCTGCAGGCACGGTGACCCCACTCTAGCACAGGGAACCACCTGACCACGTATGCCCAGGGCTGCTTGGAAGACAAGTCCTGGGGAGAGCGCGGACAGACAGGACAGAAGTCTTGGCCCCGGGAGAGGGGTTCGAGATCACAGAAGAGCTGGCTTGGAAGGGGGAAGGCCCTGGGCACTTTCCCAACATGGACGCTGCCTACCGAGCGGCCACGGCCAGAAAGCACTGTAGAAGCCAAGGAAGAGGAGGAGGGAGAAGCCTGCAGCAGGAGCCGGGCCCACGGCTGCCTCAGACCCGGGCTGGAAGAGGGTGTGGCCTGGACTCTGCTCTGGGAAGGATGCGCAGCCTCACACCCGCCTCACTGAGCAGAGGCCGCGGTCTGTGCTTCCCGGGGATGGGAAGCTGCTTGGAGGACATTTCCTCGTAAAGACAGGAAAGAGTTCCTCACACTCAGACGCCAGTCCCATCTGACTTACACTGGACACCTCCCCGCTCAGGTGAAGCGCACCCCATCTGAACATAAAATTAGAATCCCGCCAGGGACAGAGGAGTGCCCACTTAGGACGGAATCTGCTCCAGGAGGGCATCACCCTTCCCTCAAGCAGAGCCCGGGGGCGTTTCCTTACGCCTCTGTGTGATTCTGGGGTCCAGACATGTCTTGTGGCTTCTAAGTCCCCCCAAAGCCTCATGTGGTCTCGGGCCGTTGTGGAGGTGGCTGAATCTGGAGTGTGTGATGACTCGTGGTGCAGCCAGGCCCAAGGGCACCAGGTCAGGGTGTGAGTGTCGCTCACCCTAAGTAGTCCGAATAAGATACAAGGGGTGGAAAGACGCTTTAAGATCTCTCATTGCTTTTGCCGCCTTCCTCCTTGAACTGCCGCCCCTCTGCCACGCTGCCTGGAGCCAGCCCTGGACTGAAGCGTCTGTGAGCTGTAACCCAAACAAACCTTCCCCTTTAGCATGGGGGTCATGCATTTTTGTCTCAGAAATGAGAGAAAAGTAACTAACACAACATGTTTAATAAATATTTGCCAAAATGCATTTCGGACTAGACTGGCTGCAGCACTGGTTCTGACTCCTAGTGTACGAATCACGATGGGCACAGATTTCACAGGGTCTCACACAGCCCAGGCCTGGAGCTGTGTCACAGACACCAGCCAGGCATGTGCTATGCTCTCAAGGAAACGTCTAGCCACAGGAAAGGTCATGCAAGCAAGTGACTGAAGCCAACAAAAGGCAGGGACACTGCAATGGATGCTTTTTCTTTGGTTTTGGTTTTTTGAGACAGGGTCTCACTATGCAGTCCAGGCTGGCCTTGAAACTGTGTGAACCAGGCTGGCCTCAAACTTGAGATCCTCCTGCCTCAGCCTCCCAAGCACTGGGATTACAGTACCACAACTGGCTTTGGAATGCATATTTTGAAAGCAAAGAGAGTTCAGAGGAAGAAGGATCACAAATAGGTACCTGCAGTAGGTGACAGTATATTGAGGCTGATAAGCTATGCGGCAGGCTGGAGACAGAAGCACTCTGTGCAGGGTGTTCCATCTACTTACAGCTCTACCCCAAAAAGCTACTCCCCCTGCAGGTCTTAAGGTGAGGCTCCTGGCGGGATTTCACAGGCAAGAGAGAGGGTGCGGGCTGCAGAATGAGGACCTGGTAAGATTTGTGCTCCCAACAGTGAACCCTTAGGAGAGGGAGATGCTAAAAGCAGTGAGAGCAATTAAGAACTTCAGTTATTCTGCAGAGCACTCGTAAGAGCTTGAATTTGGACAGTAAGAGGAAACAAACAGAAATTCAAGTTCAGAGATATGAAAGAGACAGCTGGCTAGGGAGGCTGGGCAGCGTAAAGACGCGAAGGGGAGCCAGGGTTACTGTCACAAATGGGAGTGTGTGCGCATGCGTGCAGGCCGACCGAGTCGAGCGATGGCCGTGACACGCGCAGCCATCTTTCAGGGGTCCCAGATACACCAGAGAATGCCGGGACCTCGACTGTGCCCCTTCTTCTTCACACGTAACAGCTCCTTTCCAAATGCATATTGTTTTCATTTTAATGCTCTCTCACATCCCCTCTGCAGGCATCGCCTCTATTTCAGGAGCTCAAAACATTTCAGATCATAAGTTCATTAATCCTTACGACACATCTGGTAACTATTAATAAAAATGTCTGCAAAGTAGTTTGCAGCTATAAATATTAAGGAGAAGTCCCATGAGGCAAATGGATATAATTACTCACATTTCACACCATGGAAACCAACACCAAAGAGCATCTACCCGTAGGATAAACGCTGGTTTGGGGAGCCCCGAGCAGTGGCACAGACTGAAGGGGACGGGGAGAGGACCAAGCACTGCCAACCACACAGAGAGGGTCCAGGCAGGAGAGCTGAGAGGCTGCAGGGAGCCAGGCACTCCGCTGCTTGGGCCGGGTCTCACGCCTGCTACCGGGGCTGACACACTACGCAAAGGGGAGATGGGACAGCTCCGCCAGGCTGTACTCACCTCGCCTGTTTCCTCCCCTCCTCACACGCCCACAGGGTGAGCATGTCTTCACTCGCCATCTCAGTGCAGAAAAGCCCCGTTTCCCGACCAGGGGAAATGCCACTCTATTCCCCGTCACCCGGGACACATGTGCCGGCACTGCCCGTGTCATCCTGCACACATCTTAACTTTCGTTAGCTAGACCCCTTTGAAGAGCAGCAGTTAGGTCTCATTCAACTATTTCCATACACATTGCACTAACTTACTGCTTTTTTTTTTAGAAGCGGTCTCACTATGTAGTCCAGGCTGGCCTTGAGCTCCCAGCAATCTGCATGCCTCAGCCTCTGGGGGGTGGGGGGTGGATTATAGGGTGTGTGCCACACACCCGGGCAATGCTTCTTATAGCTGTGACCAAAAACCACATGAATTACTTAACAAGTAGTACAAAGAAGACCAACCTATACACTGCCATTGAATCTGGGAAAAAAACAAGCCTGAGATTTGAGAATAAGGGTAGGTAAAGGGAAGAAAAGCTATTGGTTGAAGGAATAAAATAATCTTTTTAAAACCTTCCCAACAGTGAATTTTCAAGTACATTTTTTTGCTTGAAAATAAACTTTCCTAATAATCATCTGCTACCCTGAATTTCTTAAATGTCATTTTAATATAATCTGGTATGTCTTTCTGAAAACAACACTAACCAATGATTTAAACCCAAGTACAAGAAATTATTTTTACAACAAGAAATGTAAGGTTTATTTTTTGCTACAAATAACCAGGAGCCAACCTCTCACTTTCTTGGTGCTAAAGTGGGAAAAATAGAAGCAACAACAACAAGCAGAAGCAGCACATATAGCAAACCATTCAGATAAAGTAGCCTGGCAGATGAAAACCCGACACGGGTCGTCACCTGGAGCCGGACGCAGTGGTGCTGCTCGTGAGGCAGGGTGGGCTGCCTGGAAGAGAGGGAAGGTGGCAAGCTGGGGCGGCGGCTGGGGGAGCTTCCAGCCTGGCCCAGAGCCGGGTGGCACCATGGTGGCACCCCGCGCTCTGTGCTTGGCTCCTGCGCACCCCCAGCCCTGGCTGCCTTACGCTTCTGAACCTACAAGCCAGGCCGATCTGAAAGCACCGTGTCAGCCCTCATGACGCTGGCAGTCAGTCCACCTGGCAGCTGGATTTGTCCTAAATGTGAACCAGCATTCGAACGGGAACGCCAGTCTCCCGTCTGTGCAACCCCGCTCACATCTGGGGATGCACATCGGGACAGTGGTGGTCCTGTCCATAGGAGGTCTCTGAGTAACATCATCCCGGGGTGACCCGTGGTCACCAGCTGGTCCCTGACAGAAGCACAGGGAGGGGACTCCAGACCCCTGGCCAGCACCGCAGTCCTGGCCAGGTCTCCGTGCATATTGAGGAGGCTCAGTTCCCTTCTCAAATGAGACCCCTTCCAACCTGCAGCCACAGGAGCTTCCCGACACACAGATGTGGC